GCTGCTAGGCAAGCACCAAAATAAGTGGCCTGTTTTTTTTTTTCAGTCCTGCTGGAGGAGGGCACGGCAGGGTGCAGCGTCCCTTAATTTCAGCTAACCACTGATTTTTAGGAACCGCTCGTGGCCAAAATTTGGAAGGGGCTTCCAAGGGAGGTGGTGCTCTCCCCTACCTTTGGGGTCTTTAAGAGAAGGCTGGATAGGTATCAGGCTGGGCTCATCTGACCCCAGCGCTTTTTCCTGCCCAGGGCAGGGGTTCGGACTCGATGATCTGTTGACCCTAGCATCTATGAATCTATGAATGTTAACTCCTCACCCCCTCCGCAAGGCTCTGGGCACCTCGCAATGCTGCTGTTGCCAGAAAGGGGGGCTTGGCCTGGCCCTCTTTTCCTGTGCATGGGCAGCCTGGATCTGCTGTTATCACTGCACACCTGATCCCGCTGCCAGGGAGAGAGCCACCTGCTTGTGCCTCTTCTGGGTTTCAGCTCCTGGGGAGGCTGCAGGTGCAGGGAGCTGCTCTCTGCACAGGGACACTGAGTCTGAATCAAGGGAAAGTCAACATGGAGCCTCTCAGTGCACTTCTAAAGCATGCTAACCCAGCCTGCCGCTTTGCTTGGGCAGGGCTCCCTGGGCTGTAGACTTCAGTGCTGCACAAGTGGTTTGGGGGAGTGAATGCTTTGAGCTTGCGCGTGTTGGAGCCCGTGGGTAAACTCCTGTCACTCCAGCGTGGCCTGATCTTTTCCAGTGTTTTCCAGTCCCGATAAGCTTGACTGGCTGGTGTCTGCACTATTACCAGCCAGGCTCCCAGCTAGGGGCACGTGGCACTGCTCTCGTGTGCACGTACAGGCCCCAAAGGCACTGGACGTGGCCACCAGCAGGCTGGAGGATCTGTGCCCCCATGCCTCCAGCAGCTACTCACCATTTCAGGGTTGGTCCTTGACACTGGGCTGCCTCCGGCTCTGCGGTCAGGGCCTCCGCCTCCCACCCAGCCCTTCCTCCCGCTGTATCCAGGGGGCCGTGGTTCATCTCTGAGGGTCACACTAATCACCCTGCCTCGTGTAGCAGATGGCAGGGATCATTTGCTGGTCTTGGGAGGGGGTCCCTGTCCTCCTCCCTCCCCCTGTTGTGCCCTAGCCTGTGAAGCATCTCTAAGGCATCTCCTCTCTCTGCAGACTCTCTGCCTGTCCAGGGACACCCGGTACCTGGTCCTTGGGGCCTTGGTGACATCTGTGATCCACACACACAGCCAGCTCAGCTTTGAAGTCTCCTTGGTGGTCAAGCATCCCGGTGATGGAGGTATGCGGGCTGAGGGGTTGTCTGTGCCAGCAAGGAGATGGGGAGGCACAAGCCCAGTGAGGAGCATACAGCCTAGGGGATGCAGCTAGGGGCTCCTGGGCTCTTTCTATTCCTGACTTAGTCACTGGCCTGAGGTGGGAATCTCCTGATGCCTCCATCATCTTGGCCCCCATCTGTACTGCGAAGATGGCCGTGGGGCTGGGTGCAGGCCCATGGCTGGAGGGACACCTGGCTGCTGCTGCTGCTCACCCTTTGGCTTCTCTCTGCCCCACTTCTGGCAGGCCCCCCCCTACCCCCACCAGAAGTCCAGCAGCTGCTCTTCGGCTCTGACGAGAAGTGCTTCACCAGGATGACCCCGGTCGTGCTCCTGCTGGCAAAGTCGCAACACGAGGAGGATGTCCTGCACCCCTCTCGCTTCCTGTCGGTGGCTGGGGTGGTGGAGACGGTCCCCTACCCCCAGCCCAGGTGCGTGGCCTTTCGGCACTACCGGGGAAACTGAAAGAGATGGATTGAGGAGGGAGGCATCGTACCCTGGCAGAGGGGTGTGGGCAGCTTACCCTGCCTGGAGACCATGCCAGCTGCCTGCTTGAACCTCAAGCCAGCACTGCCTGCTGCAGCCCCGGCTTGGCCCACTGCACTGCAGCGGCCGATGCTCTCAGAGGGCTTGGGGGGACTAGACCATCAAATCTCCCATGGAGCTGTAGGGCTGCAACCAATGCATCGAGTGTCTGGAATGGGGGCGGCTGCCGTGTGGGGGTGCTGAGCAGGGAGTGACCCTCTGGGCCACTTCCCTCAGGGGAAGTGATTGCAGTGGGGCAAGGTCGGGCTGTGCTAGAGGGACTGTAATACGGGCTGGACCGTCTCTGTGGCTGTGTGCCCGTGGCAGGGTGGGGATGGGGAAAGTCTCCTGCCCACTGCTGGCCACCTGGGGTTGAGGAGCCCTGGGCCCGTTGCAGAGCATTGCCCTTGCTGACCCACTCTGTGCCTCCCCACAGCTCGGCCCCGGCTGGCAGGGCAGAGGAGCCCCCTCCTGATTCAGCCGCTGGCCAGGCCAGTACTTCAACGCTGGCGCCTGGCAGCACCGACCAGTTCCTGGGCAGCCTGACCAGGTTCGTCAGTGGGATCCTGGGCTCTTCGGGGGAGCCACTGCCAGCCTCAAGGGTCCACCACTGGCTGGACGTCGAGACAGCAGAGACGCTTCCTCACCAGCAGCTCAACCTCTCTGAGGAGGCAGCCCTGGAGCGGCTGGTGCAGTCGGAGGAGCCCTTGCTGCTTTTGTTCCCCCACAACAGCCAGGCGCTGCTGGAGCAGCACTTCAGGCACTGGCGGGTGGAAGGGAGGGTGCTGCAGCTGCTGCTGGAGGAGCTCCAGGCTGTGATCCAGGACCTGAGGGAGCTCCCTGCTTTCCAAGCCAATGCAGGCCTCTTCCAGCACCTTCTGGCTTTCTGCTATTACCCGCCGGGGCCAGGCAGCAGTGACTCCCTGGTGACGCCCCTGCCGGAGGAGCTCCGCGGGCCCCGGCAGCTGCACACCTTGCTGCTGCTCAAGGCCCTGCAGACGGTGCGCACCCACTGGCGGGAGCGCCGAAAGGTGCTGTGGCAGAACCGCAGCGCGCGGCACCAGGCCTCGTGCCGGCTACGGGAGCTGACTGTGGACATCAGCCACTACAAGTTCATTGCCGTGCCGGACATGTATGTCGCCAACAACTGCGAGGGGCCCTGCCGCCTGCCCCTTTCCACCCGTGCCGACTACTACCCGCACACGGTGCTGCTGCTGGACATGCAGGAGCGAGGTGTGCCCCTGCAGCGCGGCCCCTGCTGCGTGCCCGTCCAATACTCTGACCAGACCATCATCACGCTCAGCGACGAGGGGCCCCAGGTGAAGATGTTCCACAATATGGTGGCAAAGGCATGTGGCTGTCGGTAGGGAGGTTCGGCTTGTCCTATCTCTGCCCTATGTCCCTTTGCCTGCACGGCCCAGAGGCTCCCTCCTGGGACACCAGTTCTGTCCCCCCACCCCCAACCCTTCCTCGCACTATTGGCTTGTTAGTACCACTCTGGACCGGGGAGGGACTTGGTCCCATCGCTCTCTAGGAAGCTAAGCGCAGCCTCAGGTATCCCCACTCCCCTGGGACCACAGTGGAAGGGGTGTGGGGGTAAGCACAAGGGAAACACAGCCAGGGAAGGCCACAGAAGTGGGACAAATCTGAGCCCTCCAGCTGTGAGGACCAGAAGGGGCCTGCCCCTAGGGTGACCACCTATTCAAAATGGAAAGGCGGGACACATCCCTCCCCTGCCAGCAGCACAGCTGGAGCAGAGTCGAGCGGAGCAGGGGCGGATGCAGGCTACTCACTGCAGGCTTAGGGCTCCCTGCCATGCTGCCTTTCCCTCGGGAGCCCCGTGCCAGCTTCATGCCCCCTGCCCACCTGGCAGCACTGAGGGGCACAACTCCACGCTGCCACTGCCTGCCTGCCCTGCTGCCAGGTGGGCAGGGGTACACAACCAGCGTGGAGCTCCCTAGGGAAAGGCAGCAGGGTGGGGAGCCCCAAGGCCACAGCGGGCAGCCCACATTGCCCCTGGGATGCCCCCCCATGCCCTGGGGTGTGCACAGTGGCAGAGAGCCACCCCATGCCCCCTGAACAAGCTGTCCACAGGTCTGTCCCACTCCCTGCCCTGGCCCCATGCCCCACCTTGGCTAGGCCCAAGCCTCCCTCCCTCCCTCACCGTGGGGGCCTCAATCTGCCCCCACTCTGACCCCTCCCTGCCATAGACACACCTACAGGGAACTGCTCTCCAGGCTGCCCAGCTGTATTCCCAGCCACGTGCATGTGTGCGGGTGCACGTACGCATGTGGCACTCCCTGCATCGTGCTCCTGGCAGCCCCGAGCAGCCCCTTGTAGGCCAGAACGCTGCCAGCCTGCAAGGGGAAACCCGCTGCTTCCCCATCCTTGCACAGCTGCAAATCCAGGACAAATGCTGTCCCGGAGTCGTGCAACCCGGGACTTGATGTTCCCATTCCGGGACTGTCCTGCCCAATCAGGAACGGGTGGTCACCCTACCTGGCCCTGCTGCCTCAATTATCCATAGCTTTACTTGCTTAGAGCTCAGGGAGAGTGGGGCTGGGGGAAAGCTACACCCTGGCATTGGTCTCTCAGCCACGTGGGATGGTGTTGCAGGCGGCCGGCTTTGCTGCAGGTTGTGAGAGGCCAGGACAGGGAGGAGACCAACAGGTTACAAATCCTGAGCCACCCACCCCAGGGCTGTGAGAGCTGGGCCCAGCTAAGAAGAGCTGCCCTCCTGCTAAATGCAACAGTCGGGGCGGAGGAGACCTTGAGGATCTTCCAGCTGTGCCCAATGATGGGGCCTGTTCTTGTGACCTCTGTGTGAATGCAAAGGGAGGAAGGAGCTGAACAGGCTTTCTCCTACATTTGTTCTTCCACGTGCAGCCCCCAGCGCCCTTGCTCTGATCTCTGTGGCTCATAACTACAGTGGCCGTTGCGCAGTCACGTTGTTTCAGCCATCCCCGAGCCAGCTGCTCCGAGAGCAGAGTTCCTGGTTCAGCA